AGTCATATCACCTAACCCAGTCAGAATAGCTATGATCAAAAAAACAAAAAGTGCTGGTGAAATAGCTATGAAAAGAAAACATTATGCACGTCTGGTGGGAATGTTAATTAGTGCAGCTGATGCAGAAAACAGAATGGAAATTTTTTTAAAACTCTGAAAACTAAATTACTGTATGACCCAGCAATATCGCTACTGGATACATATCCAAAGGACAGGAAATCACTCAACTCAAGAGACATTTACATACCCATTTTTTTAAGAGGTTTTTGCTATAGGGCACATGTGCTTGCCAAAAAGACAGAAAGAAACAAAGAGATAGAAAGCGAGAAATCACCCCCCCACCCGGGGGGGATGGCCATACTGCAATCCCTTCTCCTTCACTCTCGTCTTGGGATCTTCGGCAAGCATGCACATGTGCCCAGCTTGAGTTCAAGCCACTGGGTCTGGGACTTGAACCACAGTCAACTACATGGGAGTTCAGTGACATAGCCATTACACCAACTGCTGGTCCCTACACATCCATTTTTACTGCAGCATTATTCACAGTAGCTAAGTCATGGAGTCAATTTAAGTCTACCAAAACCAATGAATAGATTGGGAAACCTCTGGAGTCAATTTAAGTCTACCAAAACCAATGACCAGATTGGGAAACATAGTACACATATTCACAATGGAATACTGCTCAGCCATAAGAACAATGTCCTGTAACTTCACACAAAGTGGACAAACCTAGAAGATATAACACTAAGTAAAATAAGCTGGACTATGAAATACAAATACTATCTGTCCTCGTTTAATGCACTCTATGGGGTAAACTGAAGAACTGAAAGGTGTAGAAAAAGAGACACCAGGAGCTGCTTGCTGGGTGGGTAGGGTTTCATAAGAAAATTTTTACTGGGCACAAGAATGCATCTAAACAAAAAGGAGAGGCCACAGGATGGTGTATCATTGGCATAGTAAAAAATATGGGAAATTTAATATGTATTAAAAAAAACCTAGTAGAACTGTTAACAAATATGCACAACATATTGTAATGTTGAAGATGATGCATATGTGTACATATTTGATTTGATTATTACACACTGTATGTATGCCTTAAAAAAACCATACTGTAGTCCACAAAGATATGCCTCATACATGTAAACCAGAAATGAAACCAAAATAAAAAGCCTTAGGGGACAAAATAAACAATGGGAATAGACTATACTTGGTCACCAAGTCAAGCAAATTACTTTTTAATAAGAACATAAGGCCATCTCGGCCAGTAGGTGGCATAGTGCTTGAGGCGCTAGACTTCCACATGACTGACTGCAGTTTGAGTCTGGGTTTTGACAGCTTGAGATATTCACACTGGGCACATGAGTGTGTGTGGCCAGAATTCCAGGAAAAGAATGGAGGAGCACACATGCCCCAAGGCAAAAAAACACTAATAAATAAATAAATAAATAAATAAAATAAAATAAAATAATGGTAAGGCCATCAGGTTAATGTGAAAAATAACTGGACATTTGATGTCAATGCCTTATGTAATAAGATTGATAATTATTTGGGGTTTAGGTTTTATAAGCATCTTTATCGTTTTAAAGTGTATGCTAAAATACTTATGGAAGGAATGATGTGGTTTCTTGGACTTAATTTGCAGTATTCCATCAGCAAAGATTAGGGTGGTATAGATCTAGTTACAACCAGGCTGGTTATGTATTGATGATTATTGATGCTGTGTGTCAGGAATATTGGGTTAATTATCCTATTATATTATTCTTTCTATTGTTGTGCATGTTTGACAATTCCTAGAATAAAATTTTTTATTATAAATATCGTGCCATGACATTTGAAATCCTAAATGAAACAGATTACTTTTTATGTTAAAAAAAAAACTGGATCACAAAGCAATAAAATAGAGTAGCTCTCTTTGACTCACAAAAACAGATGAGGATCCCTCCTCTCCTCCTCCCGCCCCATGAAAACAGCACTCGCTTACATGTCCGGATACATCGTGAATAGATTAGTAGCATATTCAGCACAGCAGTGAATTAAACTAATAAGTAGGCTATGTCAAGGAATGAAAATATGATTTACCATTAGCAAATAATTTCAATTATAATTCTTTATATTAACAAACTAGTGGAGTATGTTAGTTTGCTGGGCCTGCCCTAATAAAGGATCAAAGATCGGGTGTCTACAACAACAGAAATTTATTTCCTCATAGTTCTGGAGGCTAGAAGTCCAAGATGAGGCTATTAGCAGATTTGGTTTCTTCTGAGGCCTCTCTTTTTGGCTTGTAAATGCTTATCTCCTGCATTTTTCCTATATGTGTGTCAAGGCCCTATCTTCAAAGAGAGTTACATTCCGAGGTGTTTTTTGAATTAATGGAGTTAAAACTTCTATGTATGAATTTGGGAGGACACAATTCAATTCACAATAAAAAGAAAAAAATTGGTCACATAAATGGGTACAGAAATAAACCTTTAAAAGAAATTCAATCCTAGCTTATGGTAAATCTTTTAGCAAACAAAGATTATAAGGAAACATAAAATTTAAGTTTCCTAAAATCTATAATAAACATACTTACATGTGAATTTTTATAAGATTCCTGTTAAAGTCAAGTAAAGGACATAAAAATATGCTATAACCTCTACTGTTCAAAACACACCAGAAACAAGGCCAGAGCTATGGAAATCAAAAATAAGTAAGAGCTATTAATGTAGAAAAGAAAGAGATAATGTTTGGTGACTGTCTTAGTCTATTCGGGATGTTGCAACAAAACAACTTAAATTGCTGTTTCGCTGTAAGCAGTAGAAACTTATTTCTCACAGTTCTGGGGGCTGGGAAGTCTAAAATCAAGGTACCAGCCTCAATCAATCCCATCTTGCCTCATGTCCTGATATTACCTCAGGGCTACTGGCATCTATGGTCTGAGGTGCTACCTCAGATTTATGCAGTGAAGTAGGACCAAAACTTTTAAAACTTTGATCCTACCTATTCTCATATCTGCCCTCTATTGCCCTCTTCTGTGTAGAAAATAAACCCTTTTAAGAAATATTTTGCCAGATGGTGCATGCACTCAGCAGAGAGAGACACAGAGAGAAAGAAAATAAAAATGCACCTTCTGTGGGGTATGGTCACAGAGCAATCCCTTCACCTCCATCTCTTCCTTCTCTCAGGATTTTGAGTACAGAAGCACAAACAACTGGCATGTTTCTCAAGCTGCTGGGTCTAGGACCCCATGACCTGCCATGTGGATCCAGTTTCAGTAACAACCACACCATGGGCTGGCCCCGAAATAAATTTTTTAGGACAAAAGGATTCCAAAATCTAAGTCTCACTAGTGAAAAGACCCGATGCAAAGTTGAGCAGCTTCTTCCCCATCTACCATGTAGCTTGGAACATGAAACCATTCTCTGCAAGAGTCACATCTGAATTAATGCTGAGTGAGACATGTCAGGAAGAGATAACTTCCCAGGGAAGATTTAAAAAGAAGCCAGTATAGAAGATGAGAACTCTCAAGAGTGAGGACTAAAGGATCCACCCATCCCAGAACAGAGTTTATCCAACAGAATCACACGCCACTGTTGATGGCTGTTGCCATACCTGGGAGCATCCAGGTAGAGGTCTCAGGCTGAGCAGCCCCTTTCATTTTTAGCTGGGGGGCTCTGAGAAACATGAAGACCTTTGTTTGAGGGTGACAGAGACAGCTCAGCAGAGGCAGAAGTTCAGACTGTGGCAGTTTTTTTTTTTTTTTAGATTAAAAGAGATTTTTACTATAGGGCACATGTAGTCAACAGGAAGACAGAGAGAAAGTGAGAAATCACCCCTTGGGAGGATTGCCATGCCACAATCCCTTCTCTTCCATTCTTCTCTAGGGATTTTGGGCACACACGCACTTGCACACGATGTGAGCCTGAAGCCACCAGGTCCAGAACTCCAATGGCCATCAGCCATGTGGGAGTCCAGTGCCACAACCACTGTGCAACCTGCTGGCCCCCAGAACCTGACAGTTCTCAAGGTGAGGACCTGAGGAAGTACCTCTCAGGTGCTTGAGAGGACGGTTCCTCTCATGCCAGAAGAAGTTTTAAGCCTATACAATCATTAGAGAGGACTCAGGGAGGAATAAGGAAACTACTACCATAAAGAGATAAGAAGGCATTTTCCCCAGACGCCTCCTTTCTCCGCTTCCCTCTCACATGCAAACTTCCGAAAGCTCCAGACAAAATGACTCTATGTGGATTTGTGACTACCACTTAAAAAGTCCGAGAGAGATGAAATGTTTCCTGAATAGGCCCCAACTCAGACTTTGGCAGGCATCAAAGAGAGGAACCATAGTTCAGGCACAGAGAGGACCTGCCACTGCTCATACAAGGGACTCTAATCTTGCCCAGACCTTACTGTCACCCTTTGAGAGCCCAGGAGGTGTTCCCATATATGCTGTTTTCTGGTGTGCATCTTGAAATCCTGAGGGGTGTGGCTTCAGATCAGCAGAGGAGGAATCCTAGGATTGGCCGATCACCAAAGAGAACACGACAGATATGAAACCCTAGCGGTTATCTCTGGGCAGGGCCAGGCAGGGTCCTGGAAGTTTTCTTCAGTTTCCAGCTTAGCAGGTCAGAGAGAGGTGAGGTTTTAAGCTGAGGGGGGAGGAGTCCCAGACTTCTGCAGGCATTAAAGTGAGGAACTGGAGTTCAGGGACTGAGAGGACCGCTCACTCCACATACAGAGGACTTCAAATTTGCGCACTCCTTGCTGGCAGCCCTCACGCGCCCATGCGAGGTACCGGTATATGCCATTTTCCTACTTGCGTCTCGAGATTCTGAGGGGCGTGGCTTCAGATTAGTGGAGGAGGAATCCTAGCACCAGCCAATCACCAAGGAGGACACGCGAAGGCAGCACGAGGTTTCCTCAGATACGAAATCATAGCCCCGCCCTTCTCTGGCGGTTATCTCTGGACAGCGGCAGGCAGGGTCTCGGATGTTCCCTCTTCGGCCTCGAGTTTAGGAGTCCGAAGGAAGTGAGGTTTTTTTTCCTCAGGGGACTCAACTCGTGTAAGCGGAGGAAGGAGTCCCAGGCCTGAACAGTCATTAAGGTGAGGAAAATGAGGGAGCTCTAAGGCACACGCTAAGCAACGAGGAACCAAAAAGAGATGAGGACTAGTCCCCCCATCCCAACTCCGTTACACTACCCCTCCCTTCGTCTCTTCCCTCACACCCAATCCTCCACCTCCCATAGCTCTCCTCTCTTCTACCCTCCCTCTCTTCTCCGCTTCTCTTTTTCCCTTTCTCCTCCTGTTGTTGTAAGCTCCGGAATGCTCCAGGCAAAATTGTTTCTGTGACTTCCCTCTTGGAAGTTGAGGGAGGTGAATTTTAGTTTGAGGGGTCCCAAGTCAGATCAGCAGAGGGAGGAGTAGTGAGAGCTCTGAGGACTTAAGAGACCTACAACCTCAATGAAATTTGGACTTGGTGCCCCCACTTCTTCTTCCCACTTGCTATAAGCCCTGGACGGTTGTAGACAAATGCTTGAATGTAGTTTTATGACTTCAGATTGGAAGTCTGAGGAAGCTGAAGATTTTCCTGAGGGTGGGGCTCAAATCAGGTCAGCAGATGGAGGAGTCCTAGGCTTGGACAATCATTAAAGTGAGGACCCTGAGGAAGGATACAGGGGCCTACAACCACAAACTGAATAGAATGAGACTGCCCGCCCCCTCCCCCACGCTCCTCTTTTTACCTTCTACCCCCCCCCATCTTGTCTACTCCCCCCTCCACTCCTCCC